CTAAAAAAAAAATATATATATAAAATAAATCCATGGCGTCACCAGCGCCGCGGCGCCCCTAATACCCTTGTGTGCGCCGCACACTTGGACAGGGGCGGTCCGGCGCTAACTAACTATGTATTTTTTTTTATGGAATAGGAGACAAACGAGCGGACGGATCACCTGATGGTAAGCGATCAGCGCCGCCCATGGACCACCAGATAATGTATAATGTAGATATATATGACTGCCTCATTGGCCGAGTGGGCACAAGTCTCGGATTCGATTCCCGGGAAAGTATTACTGGATTTTAAAAAATAATCTTAGCAGTAGCACCGGAGTCTGGAAATGTGCTTGGTATATGGCAATAGGCTCACACCCTATTACATGGGACTCATAACATAAATAGTGAAAAGTGGGTGGTTCTTTGAACAGTGGCAATAAGTGCCGTATGTGCACCTCTGCCTACCCCTTTAGGGATAAAAGCCCTGAAGTTACGTATGTATGTAGATATATATGTTTTGTAAAGATTAGTACATTATATTTTAGTATTTATCCTACTCTTTAATGTTTCAGGGAGCCATACACTGCACGTCCAGCATATTACGAGCCTCTCCCTCCCCCTCCGCCCCCGCCGTATTTTCAACCAATCAAATCTGAGGCAGTTTCAACTATATCTAATTAGTAAGTATTTGTTTAACATATTATATGTAGAGGAGACCCGTAGTCCTACAGGTTGTAAGTTTGTAATACTTTGAAATCGCCAACCTGCATTGAACAAGCGTGGTGATTAATGCTCAAACCTCCTCCGTGTGAGAAGAGGCCATTGGTCAGTAGTGGCCACTTATGATTCAGCAGTTGACTGCCAGCGGCTGACGATTCTTCAAAAAGGTAATTCAATAATTATGAATAACTGAATGACTGATGAAGGAATACTGAAACGTTACTCAATTTTAAGTCGGACTCCTAGAAAGAAACGACTTACCGCTATTATGACAGCGATCCCAAAACTCGATGGGGTTGCGTCGTTTAATTACAAATTTCCTATTGTAATAAGTCGATAAAGGAGTTCTTGGAGAAAAGAGAAACTCAACGTGGAGTGTTCAATATGTGTAGATATATTTATGTAGTCTCCATAGCAATGATCCCAGAACACACATTACATTGTCTTTTATATTATTAGCTAATGGCCCCAATTCGTACGTCAATATGCTACGGTAATTACTTGAAATGTAGCAGTGCAACAGTGAATTATGACATATACTACCTACACTATGGCCACCTTCTGATCAGCTTAATGTCAAAATGATGTCGTATGGTCGTTCAATTTATACCTACATGTATGCAACATTTCAGTTCAATCGGAAAACGGGAAATGGATCAAAACTTGTAAAAATAATAAAAAAACAATATCAATTGTATTTCTCTTGTTTCAGCGAAATGCGTGTGACGCGAGCTCGATATATTCGCGACAGAATTGAAGTTGGGAGGCCGACAGCAGTGGAGACACCTCCTCACATCATCACCAACACGATGCAGCCTATAAACAGCGTAGCTATGGCCCAACACACCATTGTGAAAGAACAGTTCGTATCACTTGTGTATTGTTTAAGCACTTTCTACTTACATTTAATCGAAAATCGATACGTTATCAAGGATTTTCTTCTGGTTTTCGTGCGATTTATTAACTTCTAGTTGCAGTATTTTACAATATACTTAATGTTTTTGTTGTGAGTTGCTATGAACATTACTTGTTATGAAGCCGTGTGTATGATGCGTCTTTTGCAATTGCTGCTTTTGATAAACACACATTTAATTAAATTATCTTAGTTAAAGAATATCTTACAATTTAGAGTATGCAATTGCGAATAATATGCAAAGTATAACAGCATCGTTTGCGACCGCGAGTCCTTCCAGAGTTCGCATTAATCAAGCCATCTAAGTAATCTTAAAGGAGCTCCCTCACCGGGAGCATTCTCGTGTAATGTAACGTTACAGATCTGAGCATTACATCAGTGAAGGAGGAGAACCGAGCACTACAATGCGCACCTTGTAATGGTACAATGTGTAATATCTTGATACAACTTGTAACATCAATTTCTGATCTTGGTATGAAATGCTCAAAGTCGAATGTATATGTTACATTACACGCAAATGCTCGTTAGTCTGGAAGGTATTATTGTAATTTAATGCTCAAAGTCGAATGTATAATGTTACATTACACGTGAATGCTCCCGGTGAGGGAGTACCTTTAGATGCAGCATAAACATAAGGTGTGGTTAATACTCACGATACATAAAGATAAAACCAGATTTCTGGTACGATGGCTCGCTCCTTGTTAGGCACTCATAATTATAAAGTGACAATAAGTGAGTATTACAATTAAGAAGTATTTAAAAACATAACATAACATCACACCTTTTATCCACGAAGGGGCAGGCAGAGGTGCACATTATGGCACGTAACACCCACTTTTCACTATTTCATTATTTATGTTATGAGTCCCATGTAATAGGGGGTGAGCCTATTGCCATCTACTGGGCACAATTCCAGACTCCGTGCTACTAGGTACTGAGAATTTTGTTAAAACCCAGTAATACCATGCCCGACCCGGGAATCGAACTCGAGACCCCTTACCCGGCAGTCATACTAGCGACCACTCGGCCAACAAGGCAGCCAAGGATTTAAGAGTCATCTAATGTTATCTATATGATGTTGTATTTGTAGGATTCACGTAGAATCTGTGATGGAACCGCGGCAGTCACCTCCGGTGGAACCATACTTCAGAGTGCCTCAAGTATCTGCGCTCTCAGTTACTCAGCTACCAGCTCCATCCTTCACACAAATTAAGCCTTCAACGGTTGCGTAAGTACTTATCCAAATTATAAAATAAACTTGCCTTCCACGTGGTCCAGAGTCGTATTATCCCTAATGGAAACTAGGCGCTTAACTTCTTTATAAGGTGCAGGTTCGGCCCCACATAGAATACTGTTCTCATCTTTAGGCGTGGGCACCCCAGTACCAGCTTCTTCCTCTGGACCGTGTTCAGCGGCGTGCCGTTCGGATTGTTGGATGTCGGGATGTTTCAAACCGGCTAGACACTTTGGCAAGGCGTAGAGAAGTAGTGCATTTTCTATCGCTTATACCACGGGGAGTGCTTTGTGGAATTGTTTGACCTGATATATGAAATGAAATGAAATACGTGTATCCGGCATAAGACATGCACGCCAGAAAAGACATAACAATAAAAAGGTATAAAAACAAAAAAATAAAAAGATAACAGGTAAATTATAAAACTAAAACCAAAACAAGCCAATAATACAGGTGCAATATACTGCGCGGTGTTGGCGGACATGCCCAATCCGATATTGATGAATGATACTTGCCGCAACTTTTCGACATCGACCCTCACGACAGTAGTGATATGTTTAGGCAGACTGTCTTACTGTGGACTCCTGAAGTCCTGACACATATTCTACGGACCCCTAAGAGGTCCATGGATTGAGAAACCCTGCCATAGAGTGACGGTGGTGCCAAAGAAAACTTCAGGCACCTATATAAACACCCCGCTTTAGGCAAACGCCTAAAGCGCTCTCTAGGTTTTATCCACCATTGACGTCGTCTAAAGTATAATAAATTGCACACTTCCACCCGGGGCTGTGGACGACTTTTCAGGTTACAGGGACTCCGGCTCGATGCTAGAGTAGGAACGGGGTGGTTTTTAGGTTTTTAGTCAGTAAGGATCTGACACTCTCCCTCGCGTCACCCAAAGCGGGAGAAGTAATTTGATGATTTTCCTGTCTCAAAATAACGATTGGTATTGTTTCAAACCTTTATTTTTTATTCTTTTGGTGCAGGATCTGGTTGATCATCCAGGTTCAGTTATACAACGTTAGAGTCTGACTTAACATTTGTTTTTAAACAATTGTAACAAAGTTGTAGTAGTAACTTAACATGTCACAACATGTTGTGTTTCGTCATGTGAGTGAGGTTACCGGAAGCCTAATTACAGCCCCCTTCCTTCCCCAATCTCTCCAATCCATGAATCACCAACAATCCTCAACACCTAATCCCCAAAATCCCCAAAACGCACGCTTAACGCCTCTGGCGTTCCAGGTGTCCATGGGAGACGACGATTGCTTACCATCAGGTGATCCGTCCGATCGCTTACCGGCTTATCCCATAAAAAAAATGTTGTATAGTATGTTACAAAATGTTATCGTGTTATACAACTACTTTTATCTTTGTTCTTTTATTGGGATTTTAAGGTACTGTGCTGAGTGCTGGATATATGTTCGTTTTTCCATCCGTTCGTCACACACTTCACAATATTTTTCTCTATGTTCATGATTGGGTAGTTAGCACTTCCATCCCAACTCACTTGGTGGGAAGCCCACGCCATATTTTGGCTCATAAACATGGATCATGACTTGAAGTTCACACTTGATTTGCAAATCAAAAACTGGTTTTTGATTTGTTTGTTGACGTTTGACGAGTTAAAACCTGTCAATACAAGCAACAAAATAAAATTCCTGTACTGACTAGTTTGAAAATTAATCATAATAAGTACTTATGTGGGAACTTGTCGCTACAAGAAGACTACGCTGACTACGAGTAATTAAATAATTATAATTGATCACCAAATGATTAATAATATTAGATTTTATCAACCCACTGTCTTTATTAATTATAAATAATTACTATTGGTACCTAACTGACGTTTCGATAAAAAAAAAGTACTACGAATATGACATCACTTTCAATTAGGTGTGAAAAAAATTACCTTTTTAATCTCCTTTATCATTCGATTGTTTGTTTCTGTTAATTTACGTAAGTGCATAGATAATCCTCCCATTGTACATACCAATACCATTTTGCTGGGGGTTTTCCTAACCTATGTCTTGAGTAATGTTAAACTTAACAATGTGAATACGGATGAAGGGTGCTCACCGTCTGACAAGAACCAGACCCTAGCGTACGGCGCGTCGCGTTCCTCGCGCGTCCCAAAGAGCCATCAGACCATCACTGATGGGGCCAACAGAGCTGATGCCGATTCGGAATCGCGGAGAACCTAACGGGTTAGCGGGGCTCCGGCTCGAAGTGCAGGAGAAGGAACGGGGTGGTTTTTAGTCAGTAAGAGTTTGACGCTTCCTCCCGCCTCACCCAGGCAGGAGCAGTCATTCGATGATTTCCCCCCCCTTAATAAAAAAAAACCCATTTAGCATAGGCATGTTGTTAGCATTTCTTATCTGATTCTTCTGTTTAAATTTATTGTGTTCATCTTACTTTCACTGTCACATTCTTTTTTATTGTTTTTTTTTATATTTAGTTTATGCTACACCATGTCTGGTGCTAAACAAATGTTATCTCTTTCTTTCTAATGGATCATGTTGAAATTGTGAACAGAGATCGATTATGGTCTGTACTGGTGTAACACATAGTAGGCTATTGTTGCCGTTAATCCGCTGGCAGAAGCTAGTCATAAGTAGGATGGAGTTGCTTCCTTCTACAAACGTGTCAGATGGTAAAGAAGGTGACTGAAAGGGAGAGAGATGAGTCCAGGGGATGAGTCCAGTCCGGGAGGATCACAAAAAAACCCAGCAATACTTTGCCCGATCCGGGAATCGAAATCGAGGCCCCTTGCCCGGCTGTCGCACTTGCGACCACTCGGCCAACGAGGCAGTGTCTGTTACATACTTCATGAAATAAGTATTGAACAGCAAAAGATAAAAATAAAGTCTCCCTGACTCTATTTAAATTTTTATTTTATTGCTATCCGTGCCCCGTACAGCCTACTAGCGGGTGGGAGGGAATAAAAAGATGAGCCTTCTTTATTCTCCTCATGCTAACTCCTCTTATGCAGTATGACCCTACAAAGATGGTTAAAGATCTTATGCTATCGTTGCAGATTTCTGGACATTAACAGTAACGGCACCGCCAGCAACTGCGCCAGTCCATCCACCTGCAGCCCTTCACATCATCAGCTCAAAGACGAGAGACCTTGCGTGCAAAACTACGGTAAGCCTCTACTAGCTCGAGGTACAAGTGAATCAATCTTAGGTATTTTTCTTGTTATTTTTGTCTTCAATTCACAGCTTGTAGAGCTAGTAATAGTATTGTCTATCACCTTCAGTGCCATCGGCCTTGTTTTATCAGCTGTAAGATCATCCTTACAAATCTGGACGAAGTCCTTTACTTTGTATAAATAACGAAGCACAAATTCTCATATAGTTAAAAACTGGCAAATTCTAATTACAGTTGTTTGTAAGTAAAAATTTGAAATTACAGGAAGCGAGGAAGAATCAGATGAGGCCGACGACGATGCACCTGCCTCAGGCAATCGAACACCAAAACATCTCTATGGCATTAGTGCAGATTCGCCCACCATGGACGAATTTTCTATCGTGTACGACTGGGTACCGCCAAGTCCAATTACTCAACAACCAACTCCAGAACCAACACCAGGTCCAGTTCTCAGGGGACCAGCTAGAAGAAGAAGGGAGACCGCGAGACGCGTCAAACAATTTCTGCCAAATGACTTGTTCCAATTCAATTGGAAGCCGTTACCGCAGTCATCGTCTTCTAATGCACGAAGAGAAGCGTTCTCTCAAATCAATATTGGTCCCACAACGACGTACGACAGCACATATGATTCGTTTGTAGCCATTTGGGACAGAGAATTTATGGAAAGTATTGCAGCAGAAACCAATAGATATGCTGAACAGATGATGCGGAGGATGGCAGATGAAGGCACACTGAGCTTGGGAAGCCGAATTTTGTTTTGGAAAGAAACTAATGCTGATGAACTGTACGTGTTCTTTGCAATAATATTAGCTATGGGGATCGTAGTAAAGGCGCAAATGGAAGAATACTGGAGTACTGCCAAGGATATATTTTCAACTCCCTCGTTTTCTACAACAATGGCTTACAGCCGGTTTCTTCTTCTCAATCGTTGTCTCCATTTCATGGACAATGAAACTTGTGATCCAATCAACATGACTCCTCCTCAAGCCAAATTACTTAAAGTACAACTTCTTGTTGATCACCTGAACAAGCGTTTTTCAGAACTGTACACACTTCAACAGAACATTGTGATTGACAATTTAATGTCTCAGACTAAACGTAACCCTTACATGAAGGAAAAAGATCACAATATAGTAAGTGGTGAAGCCTATGAGGTCTGCGAGTGTCAGACGGGATACTTGTGGAGATTTGACGTCCGTACAGAATACGATACGTGCTCCCTTGAGGCACAGCGAGCGACAGGCGGACTGATACCGACAGCTATATTAAAATTGCTTGATGGTCTTGAAAACAAAGGTTACACAGTCTGGATGGATAAAAACTCTCCGTCTCTTGCCAGGATACTTAAATCTAAAGGGTTTGACTGTGTAGGAAAGTTGAAGATTGGTGATCAATATGTGCCCGGTGAAATAGCAGCACTGCAGCGGAGTGGTGTAGGTTTTGGTCAGATATCTGGTTATACGTCTGGAGATGTAGATCTTATTGTAATAGGAGATCAAAAACGAATAGCCATGGTATCAACATACCATGGAACTGGAACGGTGATCGACAGGAACAACGATAAAGTTAAATCGTCCATTCTTTATGATTATAACATTTGTATGGGTGGCATTGATAAGAAAGATCAGATCGAAGCCTCGTGCCCCGATGAGAAGAGATCGCAAATATGGTATAAAAAAATTTTTAAAAGGTTACTTAACCTTAGTGTATTGAATGCTTTTATAATGTATAAGCATACTCATGAAAAGGAGACTCAGAGGGGATTCCGCGTGAGTCTCATAAATTCGCTGCTTAAACAACATCAGCAGTGGAATGCTGTGATTCCAACACCGGTAGTGTTCTCGTCAGATGAATTTGTACATTACGCAGTGGAGAATCGTTTCCTCCCGAGTGCTAAACAACGCATGCGTCGTCACTGCGCGCACTGCTCCAAGCGCTGCACATCATCTTGCTTCGGATGTAAGGTTCCATTGTGCGTTTTCACATGCTTCCATCCATTCCACACGCGAGATCCAAACGGAACTGGAGAACCTGAATCGGTTCCATAAATTAATATAACACAATTATAAATGTTCTCATCTAGTCAACCACTTAACATCTAGTCAAAAAATTATATTTCGTGTCAAAAAGTATTTAGTAAGCTGCATCTACACTCGTTTCTTTATACAACTTTGTATACGTTTTACGAATCGAATTCAGGTCGTGTTCAATATTAACAGTCGTGTTGATAATCACTGGACCAATGTGGTATTCAGTGTTGATATTTATAAATGTTTATTTTGGATAAATCTATACATAAAGACTTTGACCTGACTGACTGGTTCGAAGTCTAGCATAAGAGAAGAATGAAGAAATGAGACTGCAATCTTAATAAGATGTAGATAGGAGTTTTGGAATGTCATTCCGGAAGGTGCAGAAGTATATGTGAGAAAAGTTTGGATGAAGATTTAATTTTTACCGACTTTATTGTGTCACTATTTAACTTTAACTAAACAAACAGTGATGAGTTGCTAAAAGATCTATAATATTATTTTTTGTTTTAAACAAGGCATTGCGGCGTAGAGGTATTTTGCTCTCATATGGAGATGATCAGAGAAAAATGTATCTGTCTTTCTAGACAGGATTGGCCGTTCAGCAGACAATTGGGTAGTTTCCTGGGTAACAAAATTAAAAATCGAATTAGTCCATCAGTTAGATAATGAAAAACTATTAGACACGTATTTTTTTATTTTCTCGTATTAAGTTGCAATAGGTACTTAGATAAAATGGCGCTTAGTTTAGGAGTGGGGGGTGGTTACGTCATAACGTGCTACAAAATGTGGCACGCTGTGACGTCACACGATATTTCAAATTAATGTATCGTTGAAAGTATTAAATTTTGTGAAAAAATAAAAAATATGTGTGTAAAGTTTTAAATTAATGTACCAGACGGACATTTAAAAAAAATTCGGAAACTACCCTATTACATACGTGCACTTTGTAAGATATTTCTTAAAAAATCTTAATTATTGCCTAATATTTTTTTAAATTTACTTCTTTTCTAAATGTCTTAAGGCATTGTTGTAACTTTACAACAATCTTTAAATTCATACATTTATTAATGAGTCATGTGTGTTTTATGGCTTGAATGTATCGCCATTTTTATTTTATGTTCCTTTTCTAAAGAATCTTTAACATTATATTTACGTACCAAAGTACCTTTACAATTTTCATCCGAATTATGATAAATGTCTGTGTCTATTATTTAAACTCGACTGTGTATTATTACTTACATATCTAAGTAACTATCTGTTTTGTTACGGTCTGTAAAATGTATTTTTGTCAGATGTATTTTTAAAATAATCTAGACTAAGATTTTACGATTGTATCCATTTCATATATCTTTAGGTAATCTAGTGTTATTGTGACTAAAAAAATACTTACGTATGATCATTTCGACAGTGAAAGGATACTTATTGTTGTAGGAATGATGTCTAAAGTTTAATTTAATGCCCAATAAGTCTCCTTTAATTATGTATCTACAATAAATTACATTATTTATTGTATAATTTAACAATCTATTTAAGGTTTTAAAATTTACATTACAATAATCGACGTGTTGCAGAAATTAGTTTAGGTATCTAAGCGATTAAAATGGCGATAACTTTAATCTAAAAAGTGAAATAACCCCTTTAGATTACTTCCTTAAAGTTAAAGATAAGATTTTAAAAATATTGAGAAAAATATCATCGGCTACAGTGACGTAAAAATGAAAAAATAATTAATCCTTTTCAGAGCGCTTTCCACGAATCTTAATTTTCGGTCTAAGTGTAAATTAAAATGATTTTTGCTTTCCTCTACCGATATATTCAAATTATAAATTAGGTGTTGAACAATAAATCAAATTGTTATTGTGCTTTGGCCATTGCTTTTACTCCCGTAAAATTTTCAACCAGTAATTTTGTTTGTAAATTCTTTCTCATTTGTGCTATTAACCAAATGGTAGACATGAAATGACATTCGATAAATTATAAAACAAAGTGAATAGAAATTTGCATATATCAAATCAATTCCATTAGCGTTTTTTTTCGTAATGTATTTTTTCATAGCTTGTTGTTCTTTAAAATCTATTTGGCCTAAACAAAACATATTATTTAACGGCTTTATTTCACTTGTCCCGTTTGTTTGTTTGGGTCAAGGTCAAGTTATTGGAATTTTACCCCCTTCTGGTGATATTTGGTACACAATCTTGACGACCTTTCAATATTAATTTTTGCTGTAACTGCTTAAACTGCTTTCATTACGGATATCAAGCGAAAGGGCTTGATTGGTAAAATGGAGCTCATTAAATCCGATTATCATAAATACATATCTATTAGATACTTGTTGTTAAGGCCAGCACCGTTGGGCTCGCCGTCATTGCAGCGCTAAGTCCCCTCTTTGAGGAGTGGCTTGAGAGACGCTATAGTGTCCTCACCTAACGCCTGATGCAGGTGCTTACCGGTCACGGGAGTTTCGGTAGGTACCTGTTTCGGATTGGGTGGGAGGAAATGCCCGGGTGTCATCACTGCGAGGGCCGCCCAGAGGACACGGTGGAGCATATGGTAGCGGTGTGCCCTGTGTGGGCTGAGCACCACCGTATTTTCAGGGATGCGTCCGGCACTGGGTCGGGCCATGATGCGGAGCGAAGGGGACTGGGATGCCGTTTCTTCCTTTTGCGAAGCAGTCATGCTAGCCAAGGAGGAGGCGGGGCGCTCGAGGGAACGAACTTCCTCACGCCTCAGTCAACTCCTTGGACTCAGATAAATTCAGATAAGTTCTATTGGATTTTTGCAAAAAATCTGTACAGAATCTGTCAGTAAATTCTAGTGTGAGGCAACGTTTATTCTAATCAAAAAATATAATAATAAGGAGAAGAAAAAAAATCTGTTTTGAATTGAGATTATACTTGAACCCACGACATGTTGCGCGGCAGCCAGTTGCCCAGCTACCGCACCAACCGTGCAATCATATTAAATTATTCTTATTTATTCCTATAATTGTCATTGATAGTATTAAGATCGGCCATTAGACAAGTTTATAACGACATAAGTAGCATTTAAGGTACCCTTTAATTTAGAAAATAGGAGGATCCTAGCGGGCTGCTGCTTACCAGATTTCTATTTTGATATAATCACGCCTTAGTTTAGTTTTTAGGGGACAGAGAGTATAGTTCCCTAAGATCGGAAAAGGAGAATCCTCCGACCAGGCGAGGTGATCACGCCTGGCGGGCTTTCTGCCCAACAGTTTTACGTTGGGATTACCTATCCATGTTTATTCGCTTGTAAACTTTGCAAGTGCGATGTAGGATTCTTGTGACGTCATCCATTGATTTGGGACGTGACATGTGTCCCCACAAGTTATAGACTCTATGTATAATGCTGACGTAGTAATGTGATTGACAATCAATATTTTTACTAACTATGTATACTGTATAGATATCGCATTTTAAACGATCAGGTTTATCAGAGGGCGCTGCCGGCGGTTCGCTGTTAACTATGAGACAGTTGCGGGAAAATTAGGCTACGCTAGGTGCTGGCGCTGCTATCGTCTCGCAAAAATCATGCAGGTCTATTTCGATGTGGAAGAAAAGACAAACAGAAATGTCTTTGATACTTGCATTTATCAGTAAGAATTCACTTCTAGGCAAAATAAAGTACTATACAATGCTACAAGACATTAATGTAATTTCTTAGTATTTATTAACGATAAGTTAAATATTTAGTTCTTTATTCTACACGCTCAAACTAATGCTATTTTGTAAAAGATTTGTGTGCGTAATGTAATTTAAATAATAACATTAAACTTAATTATAATAAAGGGATTTTTTGTGTATAATTGTGAATTAGTCTACATTTAAATTGTACGTAGATGACGCTTCGTCTGTGTTGAACACACTATATTAAAGTGTTACTCATTTAATGCTTCTAAATAGGCAATTTTCGGTATTACATATGTGTCCGCGATACCGTGGTTAACCCATTGTTAACATTAGCCGACAATGTTGTTAACATAGGCCGACGTCTTTGCTAATATTAGCCGACAACATTATTGAATATGAGCCAGTAGCATGGCTTGAAACTAGTCGACTTCTACGTCAAACAGTTACGTGAGTAAGCCGCGAACATAATAATTTAGTATGTCTCATGAAAGTTATAATATAGATAACATTGTTAATATTCGCCGACAATATTGTCAACACTAGCCGCGGACATTATTAATGTCGTTAGTTCCTCAAACTAATACTCAAACTAATGCTATTTTGTAAGAGATTTGTGTGCATAATGTACTTAAAAAAATAACATTAAACTTAATAACAATTAAGGGAATTTTAGTGTATAATTGTGAATTAGTCTACATTTAAATTGTACGTAGATGACGCTTTACCTGTATTGAACACACTATATTGAAGTGTTAGTACTCATTTTGATGCTTCTAAATAGGCGATTTTCGGTAGTATGTGTGTATATGTGGTCGGTCCATTGTTATTATTAGCTGACAGTATTGTTAATGGTAACCTAGAATATTGTTAACATTAGCCGACAACATGGCTATCGTTAGCCGACAACGACTATGCAACTTGATTGATCAAAAAGTGGTCCGTAACCAATAAGAATACGCAATTAGTTGTTGATGTTGCAGCCATACATTTCAGAATAACATTGCTAGTTTGGGTTTAGAAGTATTTTCACCCATCCTGTTAATGTCTACAGGGTGGATTTATGTCTCTGCTCTACCAGATGGGTGCCCTTGTGGTAGGCATTCTATTTACATTATACAATGGTATCATAATAATTGTATGTCGTGCAGGGTACACGATTAAGGCTGGACCAGACTGGATGCGTATGCGTAGACCTGCGCGTCGACATTCTGTATATTATAACTCAGCGGTACGTACGTGTCTGCTCGAACCTTAAGGTTTATTAGATGTTTACTCGATTGTGTACCTTTACGAAATGAATAAACGGTAATTGTAAAAGCAAAAGAAGTCTTTTTATAATTTTTATTTTCTTATATATTCTTTACCCGT